TGCTCTCCTCTCCCTGCACTTCACACTGCCTTCCCGGCATATCACTCTGCTGCTGGGGGGCAGGAACAACTACCTCTGCCCCTGTAACTCAGCCTGCGGCTGGGGAGGGAGGACGCTGCTCTCCTCTCCCTGCACTTCACACTGCCTTCCCGGCATATCACTCTGCTGCTGGGGGGCAGGAACAACTACCTCTGCCCCCTGTAACTCAGCCTGCCGCTGGGGAGGGAGGACGCTGCTCTTCTCTCCCTGCACTTTACACTGCCGCTGGGGAATGGAGACTGGGCTCCCAATTCCCGGCATATCACACTGCCGCTGGGGAATGGAGACTGGGCTCCCAATTCGCTGCATATCACACTGCCGCTGGGGAATGGAGACTGGGCTCCCAATTCTCTGCATATCACACTGCCGCTGGGGAATGGAGACTGGGCTCCCAATTCCCTGCAGTACCTGTCGCTGGAGTTCTTCCCAACGTGCCAGCTGACCTTCTCTTTCTGCCCGGTGTTGCAGATTCATGAACACTAGGTTCCTCATGGACTGCACGTATTTCTCAGCTGGATTGGGTCCAAAGAAGTTCAGTCAGCAACCACATCATACACGGTCATACTTCATAGAGTATCTGCACGCCACCGCTGGTTCCATCCTGGTGCTGTCAGGGTCGCTGCATTGGGACATGCGCGTTCCTTAACTTGTAAATCCAAAGAAATGGTGTCTCTGTAGCTGTCCTTCTGCTGTAGGAACGCATCCGGCCGCTAAGCCACCAATTGTAACGGACCTTTTGCACACAAGGGGTAAAACCGCTTAGGCGATCGCCCTTTCTTTCCAGAGATGCAGGCACAGCTACTGCAGAACACAAAACAACAACTACAAATAGCACTCCAAATTCCCAATCTGGAACCTCCTAAATAGCTGCTAGCAGACCTAACAGGTGCCTCCTGCTGCTTACACTCCTGCACCGTCTCTAACAGCATACAGTGAATCCCCCCAAGAACAAGACAAGGCTCCGTGTTGAGGGTCAAGCAGTGGTCTGAGGTGCTGGCACACCCAGCCTGGTTTTTATTACAGTCTTTTCAAATACAGGACCGCCACAGGGAGGTATAAAACAACCAATCACATATCAGTTACATCCCACATATTCCCTCCCCTTATCCTGAGAGGAAACTCAATTACACATACAGTTAAAACATACTTTCTACCCAACTTTCATAACTCCAAATCCATACATCACATTCACATAAAATTACATATTCTCAATCAATCCATTCAGGGGAACAACATATTCAAAAATGGCACAAATCAGACAAGGGGTTCAAAAGTTAGTAAAAAGTCCTTTGTGACTAAATGAAGCATGGCTTTCTTGCCCAAACCAGTTTCAGAGTCTTCTATCCTGGAGATAAGTAATTCAATTATCTCCCAGGACAGACACAAGACTCCATTAAGCACATGGTTGCAAAGAGACACAAAGCACTTTAAAATACATAAAGTCACATTTATACATAAAACACAGACATTTCACATATCCCCAGATAGCTCAGGTCTGAGCGCACATTATTAAGTGAATGGCGCTCGGACCACACAAATACAGTTTAATCACCATGGAGCCAAAGTCTTTACAGTCAGTTTCATACGAAGGGGCTCCATGGGATTCCCATCTGGGGTATACCACATTCAAACAAATCTACTGAAACCCAGGCAGAAAAGCACGAATACAGCTTTTCTGCAGGCAAAAATAAAGTCTTTTAAAAGGGGGCCATAGTCCAAAGGCAGCAGGCGAGCAACCAGGCTTCTCCAATGCAATGTGGCGAGATTGGTCTCGTCACACCCCCCTCCTTCATTAACACCCCCATCTTCACTTACTCCCCCCCATAACATACTCTTCCCCATCACTTACTCCCCCCTTCACTTACTCCCCCTTCACTTACTCCCCCATCTTCACTTACTCCCCCCATCTTCACTT